TAAAAAAATTTTTAATCTAGTACAGGGAGGATTGCTCAGAAATAGCATTTTAAATCAGGGATCTAGTGGCAAATGTACCTTCCTAAGTCCTAGCATTCTTTTCCTTCATCCCTCATTCTCCATTGTAGACTTTATTATAAGTAATGCTGGCTTATCCACGATCAGAGAGATACTTTTCTTTTGGGGAAATAGATTTTCCTTTTTCTAACTAATTTTGAGCGGACTTCCGTACTGGTTTTTTTGTTTTGTTGTTTTGTTTTTTTGTTTAAGACAGAGTTTCTCTCGGTCCCCCAGGCTAGAGTGCAGTGTTGTCATCATATCTCACAGCGACCTCAAACTCCTGGGGTCAAGGGGATCCTCCAGCCTCAGCCTCCTGAGTAGCTGGGACGGGTGTATGCCACCATGCCCAGCTAATTTTTCTGTTTTTTGTAGAGACAGGATCTCGCTCTTGCTCAGGCTGTTCTTGAACTCCTGACCTCAGGCAATCCTCCCACTTCCCAGAGTGTTAGGATTACAGGTGTGAGCCATTGTGTCTGACCAGTACTTTAGACAACTAAAGCAGTTGTCTAAATAAAAAATGTTTTGAGAATGTTTTATCATTTTAGTTGCTGTATGTGTCATTGGATATTTTTGGAATTTTATATTTTAGAAACATATCTCCCACAGAGTGTGGTCTATCAAAATGAAGAGGGCAGATGGGTCACTGACCTTGCCTATTATACATCTTTTAATAATGAACAAGATTTAAATATGTCTTTAAGTGATGAGGTGAATGAAGACTTCAGATCTGGTTGTAAGTATATGGATAACCACATTTATTATACCTTTTTCATTGTTTCTCATGGTGTTTCGAAGATTACCCATTTATATTGTTCAGCTGCATCAGATCTCTTCTGGCATATCATTGTTTTCTAGAATTTTTTCACTCGTTTTTATAGGAGCCAAGGCTTGAGTTAGTCAGTCTTAATCATTGCAGAATGAGCTGAGCCAATTCCTTAAGCAAAGGCAATGAGTCAGACTAGCACTCTGTTACTTCTGTTTAGAACCTGTAGTATTGTAG